CAATTTCGTCTCCGATTGGCTATCCCAGGAGCAGATAACGGATCACGCTCTGCGCAATCTCTACCAGATTGAGTACGCGTGCAGGCTAGAGACGCTGACTCGAAACTATGCCATTGTCAATCGAACCGGCGCGCATACACAGTCCCAGAGCAACCTCGCGGCTATGTCGATGACGGTGCAGACCTCTACGTTGATCAGCGCGATTGGCCTGTTTCTCCGATTTCATGGGTGGAAGAACATTGCCATCGTATTCGAGGTAACCGATGAGAGTATGCAGAACTCGGGTGTGGCCGAGACCATACAGCTAATTTTTTCCAAGACTGAGTCCGGCACAGCACCCCTTAATGTCTTTATCATGGAGAAACTACAATGGTATATCGATCCCCGCATGCTGCTGAAGAACTTTACGCTGAAGACCGATGGTTTGTCGCCTTTGCTCTTACCGTTCTAACTTATAGGTAGGATTCTTAAAAAAATTTAGGAATGGAAGCTAGTTAAACCTTCAACTGTATCCATAAATGGTTCTAAAGGAAGCTTGCAGGAATAGTATATTCGGTGTAAATAATCATGCCTGACGGTATATTACCTAAACTTGTATAACAACCTAGGCCTTCATCATCATATTTTTACCAAACTAGAAAGTTTGAAAGTGTTTATATCCTGTTAGTGCCGCCTCAAAAAATGACTGTTTGAAAAAACTACTTGATAGCGCAGACACTATCAGCAACGATCGAGATTTACCCATTGATATCCAAGTCAATCGGTTTGGTTAAGAAATTTAAAAAATGAGAAAATATTTGTCGTATAACCTGGAATATATGTAAAATCCATAAAAACTTAAATTGTCGTTTTCAACTTGCCGAATTTCTGTTAATATTGAGTCCCCTGGATTCAGAAGTTAAGAGCTAATCCTAATGCCTGTGTCTATATTTAACTGCACAGATAATATGTTAATTTGACATCCCAAGTATCCTTAGGTCTAAATATTCGACACATGACCTCGAAGGGGCCGTAATTTGAGTGGCTATAGCCCTTTGCCAACTGGTCACAAAGGAATACCATGAAACTTGGTTAGACAAAGAATGTCAGTGGCACTGTTTCGAGGCACCGTAATAATGCGTCAATAGAATGATAA